AGATTAATGACACATCAGGTATTACAGAATAAAAGATTAGTGTGTTTGAAGAGACCACAATAGAAACTGTCCAAAATGAAATAGAGAAAGAAAAAGAATTGTAAAAGTGACCAGAGCATCAGTGAGTCATGATACAACTTCAGTCAATCTGATCTCTGCAAAATTGGAATCCTCGAAAATGCAGAAGGACAGAAAAATTATTTGAAGAAATAATGTGTAACGTGAAGAAACCAATGTCTCTGGCCAACAGTCAGAGGAAATATGAGACTTGCCAAAACCGTAGGAGTGAGCTCAGAGGCCGATCCTTCCCCCTGAGATTGCGGAAGCCCCAACTGCCTAACACTTTGGCTGCAGCCTTGTGAGACACCCTGGACCTTCTGGGGAGTCCTCTGGTTTCCCAGGTGTTGAGTGAAGGTCAGGCTGCTGCTCCTACCTCTCTGAGTTTCCAGCTGTCCACTCTCTCTCGTCATCTTCCAGTCCTCCACGCTTGGATTTGGGCAGAGCCTGGCTAGACTAATACTAACTCTTGGCAGGAAGCAGGAGCAGATGTGAGAGGAATCTCCCTTGCCCACTGGAGGCCCCTGGGAGGTGGGAAGGGCCTGAAGGACAAAGACTAAAGGCTGATGCTCAGTCTTCATTCCTGCCAGCCAGATGAAGACTGTGCTGTCATGCAGCCAAAGCTTACCTGGGGCATCTTGTTTGAATCAAAGGTAAGCTGAGGTTGGAGAAGCCAACCTCAGATTTCCCAGTGACTTTACTGACATAAGGACGCATCAGAGGAGCCACGTGGGGGTCCACACTTGAGGACTACATCTCTAATCACCCTGCTTGACTTTTGATATTCAGTTAGATACTGGAACAATTTAAAAATAAGAAATTACCATATTATATTCATCTTTTCTTGGGTGATATTATTTTCCATACATAAATTGAGGTATTATTGACACATAATAAACCATAATATATAAAGTGAGCAATGTAAAACACTCTAACATATGTATATACCAGTTAACACTAACACCATATTCACAGTAGTGAACATATTGGTAATCCCCCAAAGTTTACTGTTGTCCACCTTCCTCCACACCTTGTCTCCAGGTGTCAAGAACTAAATTGGTGTTCCCCAAAATTCACATGTTGAGGCCAATTGTGTTGGCTCACACCTGTAATCCTAGTACTCAGGGAGGTTGAGGCAGATGGATTGCTTGAATTCACAAGTTTGAGATCCGTCTTAGCAAGAGTGAGACCCTGTCTCCACTAAAAATAGAAAAACTCACTAGGTATTGTAGCCAGTGTCTGTAGTCCCAGCTATTCAGGAGGCTGAGGCAAGAGGATCACTTGAGTCCCAGAGTTTGAGGTTGCTATGAGCTATGATGCCACAGCATTCTACCCAGGGTGACAGAGCGAGACTCTGTCTCAAAACAAAACAAAACCATCCCAAAAAACAAAATTCACATGTTGAAGCCCTAACCCCAGTACCTCAGAATGTGCCTATATTGGCGATAGGGCCTTTAACAATGCAGTTAACCTAAAATGAATCTGTTAGGGTGGTCCCTAATCCAATGTGACTAGTGTCTTTGTAAGAAGAGGAGATTAGGACACATGGAGAGACTCCAGGGATCCCCAAGCACAGAGGGGCACGTAAATGAAGGTGGACACCTGCAAGCCAGGGAGGGAAGCTCAGACAAAACAAAACCTGCTGAAACCATAATCTTGGACTTCCAGCCTCAAGACCTGTGAGCAATAAATTTCTGTTGTTTATTCCACCCAGTCAGTAGTATTTTGTTTTGACAGCCTTAGCAAAGTAATGTAGTAGAGACAGATATATTTTCTGGGAATATTAATTATAGTGAAATCTCTTTTGTGGGCTAGTGCTTTTTACTCAGCATAACTTGTAAATTGTCTATGTATCAGGAGAACATTCTTTTCATTGCAACTATATTCCCTTGGATGGATATTTTGCATTTTTAAAATCTATTCACTATTGATGGACATTTCAACTGTTACCAGTTTGGGGCTATTACAAATAAAGCTACCATGAATATTCATTTACAAGTCTGTGTGTGGATATAATCTTTTCTGTTATTTTTAGTAAAACTTCAGAAGGTGAATGACTGGATCATATGGTAGGCACATGCTATTTTTTGAACAAACTGCAAACTATTTTCCAAAGTGGTTGTACCATTTACATTTCCATGAGCAGTTCATGAAGCTTTCAGGTGCTCTGGGTCCTCACAAGACTTGGTGTCAAGATCAGTGATTTCAACTGGCCTTTGAAAAGTTGTAGACTGGAATCTCATTTTGATGTTCTATTTGCATTTCCATAATTAATGATGTTGACCATTTTTTAATATGCTTATTTGCTGTCCATATGGATCCTATGGTGAAGCATCTGTTCCTATCTTTTGTCCATTTTTATTAGGTTGTTTATTTTCTTATGATTGAGATTTGAGAGGTCTTTACATATTCTGGATACAAAATCTATATTGGATTGTATCAGCTATATACTGATGGGTAATAAGCCACTAGAAAGTTAGTGGCTTAAAACAACAAACATTTATCATCTCACTGTTCCTTTGGGTCAGGAATCTGGACATGGCTTAGCTGGATCGTCTGGCTCAAAGTGTCTCACAAGTCTAAAGCCAAAGTGTCAGGCAGTTGGGGCATCTGCTGCCTCCCAGGGGAGCATCTGCCTTTGAGCCCACTGTGGTTTGGCAGGTCTCAGATTTCCTCAGGCTATTGGCCAGAGGCATCAGTTTCTGATATTTTATATTATTATGTCAAATAATATTTTATACTCTGCCTTTTCAGGGACTCCAATTTCATATTAGGTGGACTAAAGTTGTATCATAGCTCACTGACATACCAGTCCTTTTAAAAATTCTTTTTGCTCTAAATTTCATTT